CATTCCGTATCTTGTTTTTGAGCTTTGTTAGTTCTTGTCTGAGTAAATGAGGGTTTCTGAGCTATTGTTAGGGGTTGCAGTAGCCTGGCAGTTACTTCTGTGGGGAAGCTCAGAGAACAAACCACTGCCAAAGAAAACCACATTGCAGGTGTCCAAATGGGAAGTCACCAACTGACTTTGAGCAGAACCATCAGCCCTGGGTAGTGCACAATTGGTATGATTAGGATAACATCTCCATTTCCACCAGATGGCTTCTCATCTGAGAAATAGAAAGATAGGAGGAATGTGTGTGAATTGGCCCTTAAAATAGCAAACTCGAATTCTCTGGTTTTCAATCAACTTTAACAAAATGTCCATGGCAACGTAATTGATGTGTTCTTTTATTAAGAGAAACTTTCATTGCTGAAGATAGTGACAATAGAAGGGTGGGGAAATAACTAGAGATTTGATAATTATGAATAGGTTTGCTGACATCATCTATTACTTATGCATATATGATTTTCTCCTCCTTTCTGAAATGGATTAATATGACTACATCCTTCTGTCTTCAAGAGCTTCTCCTACTAATTTCTGGACAGGATATATACCAGTTGCACTGTTAACAATAAAAACTGCCATGAGATTTGATTATTGGTTTTCGGTCCTGCATTTCATCCTACAGTGGTTTTGGGAGGGAGGGGGCCTGAAGGATTAAGCAGTTGTAATACCCACACAAGCATTACAAATAGTCCTTGTTGAGCAATGATGATGAAAAAGTAACTTTGCAACCTATCCACATTGACAACATTTGCAGGTTTGTAAAGCATACAAAAACTGAAGTCATAATTGTTGCAACAGTTTCACTTTGCAAACACTTTCAGCATGATTTTTGGAAGCAGCCACCAGCAACCCCATTCAATTGTGGCCACTTGGAAAATGGTGGCCACTTTGGTAACTGCACAATGCAGCTATTTGACAAAGTGATCCATTCTACTTCTTTCATGTGGTCTATGCAGCATTGCAAAAAGCCCCCACAGTAGGTGAAGTTTCAGGTGGGTGTCAACCTCATCGATTTTTGCCCTACAGCAGTGGCTTTCAGCCTGTGGTCTGATGACCCTGGGGTGGCACAACATCATAAAAAGGGGTCTATGAAGGCTTGAAGAAATGTTATCTTGAGTTAAGTCTTGGAGGTCCCTAGCCATGGTCCATGGCCTCATGAGATATCTGAAGGGGGCCCATGGTAAAGAAAATGTTGAGAACCACTGGTTTATGGGCTTAGTATTTTGAGAATGTGATAAGATTTTTTAAAAAATGATGACATGAAGGAGAAATGTGTCCATAAAAGAACTGCTTATCAAGTGCTGCAACTGGATACAATATACCTGCTTTCAGCAAAAATTACGCAGCCTTTCCTTTATCTTGTCTTCAAAGCATCCTTGTGTTGTCCAGTGCCCTGTGTGGATGGAAAGCTAGTTTTTAAATATGTGTTTATTATTTCAAGGAGGAAATTTTCTCATTTTAATCTTTTTAATTTAGTTGTTTTTTCATGGAGTGTTTTAAAGAATTTGGTTCAGTATCATTTTTTTTAGCATAAATGGATCTTTTTGTGTGCGTGTGTGTGTGTATGTTAATTTTCAACACACACACACACACACACACACACATAATATAATAAAGCATTTATTAAAATACAAAGAAGGGAAGAAAAAAATAGGAAATTAAGGGAAGGAAAGGGAGCAGGGGAAAAGGGGTGTGAGATACAAGAGGAAAGAGAATAAAGTAAGAAAAGGGGCCTTGACTTCCAACACTTCTTAGCACAGTGCAAGATAAACACACTCCAACCCAGGGGTGAAATGTAAAATGTGTTACTACCAGTTCTGTGGGCGTGGCTTGGTGGGGGGGCGGTAATGTGACTGGGTGGGCATGGCCAATTTTTTTTTTTACAAAGAGGTTGTAAAATAAAATGCTTTGAAAAGCCTCTGCTGATCAGGCAACTCAGCTGGGATCGTCAGAGGCTTTTCAAAGCATTTTTTTCTGCAACCTTTTCGGCTGAAGAGGTGGTAAAAAAAATGCTTTGAAAAGCCTCTGACGATCCCAGCTGAGCCACGTGATCATCAGAGGCTTTTTTTTTTTTTTACTTTTAAAAGCATTTTTTCAGCAGAAGAAGTTGTAGAAAAATGCATTTAAAAGTAAAAAGAAAAAGCCTCTGATAATTGTGTGGCTCAGCTGGGCATGGTGGGGGGGGGGGCAGGGATTTTTGCTACCAGTTCTCCAAACCACCCGTCGCCATCACTACCGGATCAGGCGATCCGGTCTGAACCAGAAGCATTTCACCCCTGCTCCACCCTCAACCTTTTGCTTTTACAAATTAATATATAACTAGCCATTCCTATAACATCAAATCTTTCTAATCATCAAAACCAAGTCAAAGTTCCATTTTTTTCTCCATAAGCACAAATTCCAGAAATGATATCCAAATGAAAACATATTTTCTTCTTTGAATAAAATAATCAATTTAACCATTTCAGCTTTATCTTTCTTGCTATGGAAATAAAAAGTTTTTTCCCCTTTTTTTTCAGTAAGGTGAAAGAATTTGAAAGAATACAATGAATTTTGTAAATAAAAATGGTGACAGGTCACAGAGATTACTAGGTGCAAACAGTATTAAGTTATTTTTGATAACATCTCCCTTTCCTTCGAATGGTCTGTCATGTGAGAGAAAGAAACATAGAAGGAGGGTGTGCTAACTGACTGTCAAAATATTCATGAACTGGCAGAGACATGGTAACAAGGTCAGCCAATGAACAGGCATAGAAACAAGCCAATTGGTTCAGCCAATGGGAACTGTTTTGGAAACTGAAACTGGAAGGAGCCTGGTGTGGTTTAGGCTTACCTTAACTGCCTTGTATGGAGGAGGTTCTCTTTGTCTGTATTAAGCTCTGATCTTAATTCTGGCCATGCCCACCCAGATATCCACAGCCACCCAGTCATGCCCCCCACCCCTCCGGTTCCCCTGAGAGCAACAACAATCCTGATTTGTCCCTCAATGAAATGGAGTTATACGCCCATACTCTAGCTCATATTCAGTCAGATTCATCCCTCATGTTCCCTCAGCAGAGCTCTGGATGTCTCTTGATCCTTTTCAGCTCCCTCAATTGAATCATGGGGCATGTTGGGAACAATGGACCAAGAGAGGTTGCATGCAAGTGATCCTATCCAAGGCCTCAGTAGCTTTCCTATTCCAGGTAGTGGCCAAGGCCTCAGAAGGACCATGCAGCAGAACCTCAGGTATAATCCCCAGTTCCCTTTGGAACCCCATCAGTCACTAAGAGTGGACTGGTCAAAGAGATCCAGCCTCCCTGCAGAGAGGGGAAGCAAAAAAGAATCTCAAAGTCATCAGGCCATGATCTGGCCAGGACAAAGATGACAAGGACAGCTCCTCCTCAGATCACGTTGAAAGTGGTCTGTTTTGAGTTGAGCTGAGAATGATGGTGGCCATGTTGAGATGCTTCTAAGGCCAGCACCAGAGATGGCAAACGGACATCTCTCAAGACCATAAGTCTGGGGAACCCCACAGTCAATTGTGAAATGCCCTCCAGAGGTTCAGACATGAAGGTTGCTGTGCAGCAGGAAGGCTGGTACACTAGTAATGATCCCAACTGGTCCTGTGAATGAATCTTCAAGAAAAGAGTTTCAGATCTGGCAGTTTGGGGAGCAGAACCCCAAAAGACCCAAAGAGACACCCAGATGACAATTGCTACCCTTAGGCTACAGCAACAGAAATTTATAAATCTTGCCAAAAAATTGTAGTTAATATCCTGAGATACTTCCTCAAATTCCATTTATGCCTTGTGCCACTATTCCCAAGTAGCCCTCCTATTATCTGACCCAACTAGGGCATAAGCCAAAATCCATCTTGTGTGCAGGGGTCACTTTCATGTAGGTCAACTACACAGCTTCCCCATGACTCCATCTGCTCTGTGAATTACAAGAAGAGACACAAACATGTTTTCCATTCTGCTGCATGAAGAGAAGCTGTTGCTAAGGGGAGAGGACAATGGCTCTTCCCTGCAATTATCAGAAAAAACAGTCATTCTTCATGTGTCCCCTGTGGATTTCCAAACACAAACATCTTCCAAGATAAAATCTGCTATAAAAAATATGTCTGAGCTCTCCAAATGGGGCAGATCATATCACACTAGTCCGTCTTGCAAAGAGCTCAATCCTGGGTTTGAAGAGACTCACATGCCTTTGTTCTCTCTATGGTCGCAGCCCAAAAACAGGTAAGAGGAAGGATTTTTGATATAAAATTGTCCTGATGCCATCCAGGTATCACAGGTGTCTGATCTGCTAAAGTTCCAGTGAGATTTGAGCAGCAACCTTCAAATCAGTTTCTGCATAAACCTTGATTTCTGTTCTAGGAGGGAAGGTGATAAGAATGACCGGGCAGGAGTCATGCTACTGATGATGCTGATGCTCTTCTGGCTCCTGGCTCCAACTACAGCAAAGAGGCTGCAAACCATATCTGTGTTCAGGGATTGTGTACAGTTAGAGGAAAGTAACTACAGGCCTGGTGATCTCATTATTGGTGGGAATTTGCCCTTGCGAATGATTTTCAAGCCTCCTGCCCTAGATTTTAATACAGTGAATCTTCTTTTAGAAACTGTGTAAGTTTCAGCTGAAGGAGAAACATGCAGATAAATGTTCTCTTTGCTTAAAATTCTGGGACTCCTTTCAGAAATACTTCTTCTAGTGTTTTGAACAGTCCTGGTGTAGTGCACATTTTGTGCTTCTCTCAGTAAATTAGGAAGCTCTTCAAATAGGCTGGAATTCTCAATCTCTTCATCAGGAAGATGATAAACAAGAAAAATGAAGAGGGAAGCTGTGCTGGCCTAGTGAAGAAGTCAAATTATAATATTAATCTGAACAGAAACTTCTGGTAGAAAATTCAAATAAAAGCTCAACACTCTTCAAGTGTTCAGGGGTTACAAAAATCCCTCTCAGTTTTGGATTCAGCATTGCTCATGAATAATGGCCTTCAGTAAAGCTATGAGGTGACTCCCACTGTAGTCCTGTGCTCAGCAATCCTTACCACACCTGAAGAAGCTGCTCCAAGAGGGACCTTAAATAATTATGGTGAAAGGGGAGCAGTTGGAAAGGATTACAGCCACTAAAGCAAAGTGAATATGGAAGGAATCGATAGAGAGTATAAAACAGTCCATGATATATATGGAAAGGCTTGTCTCCTTTCTCACAAAGTCATCCAAGTTTAGTCAGGGGAAATCCTTTGAAAAAACCCAAACCCAATGAAATTTGCGAATTGCTGCCCCCAAAAGTCCCCCCCAAACAGTGAAGCAAATTCTACAGCCATGCACAAGCTTTCCTGTCATGTTCTCCAATGTTTTTCTTACTACAGTCTCCTACCCAGTAACTACCAGCAGTTCCTTGCATTGATGTTTGCTGTCTCTGAGGTCAATAAGGATTTTCTTCTGCTCCCCAACATCACCCTTGGCTTCCACATCTACCGCCATTTCCAGAGGGAGGAGATTATTTCCTTAAACAGCCTCTCCATGCTCGGCTCACGAGGCCAAGTGGTTCCAGGTTACAAATGTGACCTGCAGGACACTCTGCTCTCCGTCATTGGTGGTCTCAGTGCCAAGTCTTCAATGGAGATGGCCTCCATCTTCAGCATCTTTAAGGTCCCACAGGTAAGAAAGCTCTCTTGGATAGAGTATGGAACAGACAAATATCAGAAGCACAGACAGAAGCCAAAAATAAAACTAAAAGTATTTTTTGTTGGGGTGGGGAATATAATTAGCTTGTGACTCTTACTTTATTTTTTATTAAACAGTAGCCATAATTTTAGTGCCATTTTTTTTTAATTTGATTCATATGCCGCTCTTCTCCGGAGACTCAGGGCGGCTTACAGTGCGTTACTTTTGTATATTTTATACAAAGTCAGCTTATTGCCCCCACAAACTGGGTCCTCAATTTACCTACCTTAGAAAGGATGGAAGGCTGAGTCAACCTTGAGTCTGGCAAGATTCGAACTTACTTTAATTGCAGACAGCTGGTGTTAAATTACAGTGCTTAGTCTGCAGAGCTATCCAGGCTCCATTTATTCTCTGTATCAGGTTGTTGGTTTCTTCTCTTGTCTTCTGATGTACCACAACTAATAAAAATGGCTAAGAAGGGAAGAAGATTAAGTTTGCCAGTCAAAGTGAGTCAGCCTGTCTGTGAGGGCCATCAATCAGACAATGGTAACTACTAAAGTCAACATAAAACTTACTATGTCTTTGAAAAAATAATCTTACTTTCTCCAGCTCGGTGTTGGCTTTGAGTTCTCCCAGGGAGAGAGAAGAGTTTATCCTTCCTTCTTCCGGATTAATCCCAAGGAATCTCCTCAGTATGTGGGTTTAGTCCAGCTGCTCCTGTATTTCCAGTGGAACTGGGTTGGTCTTCTGGCCCCTGAAGATGACAGGGGAGAAAGTTTCATTTCAACTCTGACGCCAATGCTCCAGGAGAAGGAGATCTGCCTGGCCTTCATTCTAATGCTGAAATTGGATAATGATAAATTCACTCGGAAAAACTTTGTCCTCTATTTCCGCACCTGGTCTAAAGCAGAAGTGTTTATTCTGTTTGCAGACTCAGCTGTTACTATCATTGTAATGGGGATGATGTATTATTTTGAAAACTATATGAAACTATCATCTAAGAAAGTTTATATCTTCACTTCCCATTGGAAACTTGGCATGAAAGAATCTAAAAACACATTGCGATATGTAAAGCCTCATCATGGGGTCTTGCATTTTAGGGACCACCCTGGGAATGTCTCTGAATTCAGCCACTTCCTCCTGTCTTTAGATCCCTTGAACCCCCAAGGAGATGTCTTTCTCCCTGTATGGTGGGAAGCGGCCTTTGGCTGCAAGATCCATAAATCAGGAAAGATCCCTCCAAAGGGGGAAAAACAATGTACAGGAAAGGAGAATCTGCAGAATCTGCAAAATTTCATTTTTGAAACAAGAATGACAGGTGACAGTTACAATATCTACAATGCTGTTTATGCTCTGGCACACGCTTTGCATGCAATGTATGGATCCAGAGTTCGACTGACAATGATGAGGCTTGGAAAGAGAATCTCAAATGTCCAGTCATGGCAGGTAATTTCTGGGTCTTTTGACTCAGTCCACAGATAGAAACTAACCAAGGAGAGAAGCAACCTAGAACTAAGGAGCAATTTCTTAAGGAACGTTTTACCTTTATAAATCATAGGTGCCCCATTGCTGGAGCCATTTAAGAAGAGACAGTACAGCCACATGTCTAAAACTGTAGAGGGTCTGTTTCTTGAGCAGAGGGTTGGGCTAGAAGACCTCCAATGTCCCTTCCAATAATAGGATTCTGTTTCTATTACAACCACAGCACAGAGCAAGATTCAAAGTGGTCCTAATGGGTTCCTGATCTGAAATTCACCAGAATTTTCTGCATCAAAGGCTAAAATGTTGGACCTCTCTGAATAGTGAAGTGACCAACCAGGTCAGATGCTTCCTTCCACGTGGCCCAGTAGATCAAACCCGGTTCCTGCATTCTGCTGCCTTTGAGAATGAGCTAGAGAAAATCAGAACCATGAATTTTCCATGGTTCTGATAGAAATAATGTATTCACTTCAAACATTCATTTATTAGTCAACAAGACTTTGGAACTGTTTCAAAATGCAGGTAGCAAAGTATCACAAGAGGAAAATCCTAAAATTAAATTTAGATTGTGGAACTAAAATTCTTGTATTTTAGTGAAATTGGAGTTGGAAACCATGCCCAGTCATAAAGGGAAAACTTACTTTCAAAGTAAAATACACCTGATTCTTCAGATCGCCACTGAGAGATGGAACTATGATGTTCCATTTGTAGCTCCAGCCCCAATACTCCTATTTCTGAAGGTCTCCTTTCTTTCAGATTCTTCCTTATTTGAGGAATGTGCAGTTCAACAACAGTGCTGGAGATGAGGTCTCCTTCTCAGAAGATGGACTGGGATCTGCTTGTTATGATCTTCTCAACTGGGTTTTCCTCCCCAATCAATCTTTTGTCCCCATGAAGGTTGGGCAAGTAAATCCTGAGGCTCCCCCAGGCCAGGATTTCACCATTAACTCTGGTGGCATTGTCTGGGCCACAAAGGTGAGCTGCAAGGAAATGTTGTAAGTTCAGGGAAAGATTCATTCTCTTCCTGAGATGCAGAACATCTTCCTAACTTGAAAAATAATAAATTGAGTCAGAAACTATGGCAGTTATTTGGTGAATAACCTGCTTTACGTGTAACACCTTTGAGGTCTGATTTGTGTCATTCCACAAAGGGTTAGCCTTGGGATCAACATCTGCTTGAAATGCAGATTGCAATTACAGCAAGCAACAGTGATTTCCATGGAATTCAGTTGTATCCTCCTGGTTCTTTCTTTTAGAAATTCTGTGGTTCAGTCACAATCCTTCCTCTGCAGGATGAAACCCCAGTTCTAATCTCCCCCATCCATGGGTGTGTCAGTGGTGCCAGTGGCCTGAATCCCTCAGGAGCTGTTCCATATTTCTGATAGACGGTGGCACTGTATCTCTTTAGAAGAGTATCTGAACATAGAAGTAGGAATGGGGAAAAGAATGAATGAAGCAGGTTCGTTGCTTAAGTAATTTCAAATACCGATCTTTCAGACCATCCCCATTGCCAGGTGTGGAAGGAAGAGGTGCCATGCAGGAGAGAGGAGAAGAGTTCCAGAAGGCAAGCAGGTTTGCTGCTACCAATGTGACCCTTGTCCAGAAGGGACCATTTCTAATCAGACAGGTAGACCATACTTCAAATTTAAATCTTCAGATATCAAGGAAGGCATTCATTAAATCAGTATATTTTTGTTATTGCATCATATTTCATAGAATTGACATGCACCTACACTTTTCAATAGAACCTTTCTATTGATCTAAACTGCCCTGGCCACAGAGGCCACCTTTCTTGATCCTCAGCAAGAATAGTTTGAGGGCACAATTTATCAATCCCCAACTTCCATTTCTGCTTCTACTTTCACCTCCAATTGGGAAACCAACTTTCAGTCTTTTCCTGAGGAAGTGGGGCATGTGGTCCAAGCTTTTATTTGGTCATTTAGAGGGTGCTTCTTCCATCTTCTCCCCCAAACTCTGAGGAAATAGACCTGCCAGAGAAAGCAGAGATCCATCTATTTATGTCTCTTCGATAGAGCAGGAAGAAGGAATGGACAGATTTTTTAAAAGTTTTTTTTATTTTTATACAACTCATTTCATGACTGGTTTGATTCCTGGGTTTCATACATTTCAGTATAAATAATCATAACAATATTCTTAATAATTACAGTCCATTTTCATTTTTAACTTTACTAACATAGTTTCTACTGTCATCTTTCAACTCTTAACCTTCTCATAATTCTATCATACTTCATATCATCTTAATATCTGTTTTTACTACTTTCTCCCTCATATTTCTACTTCTGTTTTAGCCCTCTTTTTCCCCTTTCTCCTATCATTCTAATAATCAAAGATTTTCCTTTTTTCATTATTCAATATTCCAATGTATCAATCATGATCTTTCTCTAGCTGTTTGTTAATAATCACATTTTTTAAATATATATACATTATCTCCAATCATTCATTTCTTATATTCATTATGTTACTACCAGTAGTGGGTTGCTCCCGGTTCACAACGGTTCTATAGAACCGGTAGTAAAACCGGCGGGATGCTCTGTCCACTGAACCCGATGTCATCAAAATGCTTCTGCGCATGAAGCTTCAACTCCTTATGTTGTTCTTTCATAAAATCCTTCATGTCTTGGTATGTCAGCTCCATATCATTATATCCACTTATTTCCATTTTACAGTCAGTCCAATTTTTAAAAAAATCCAGGACTTATCCACGTCCCTTCCAATCACTTTTATTTCTTCAAAAGTTTTGTATTTTGAAGTTTAAAGTAAGTTTGAAGTAACTCCGTATAATCCAACAAAGATACGAATTCCCATAGATGCACAGTTCTCCTCTTAGCAGCAGATGGCGCTCATGATTCAGATTGGTATTTTTTTTTTAATTTGATTTATATGCCGCCCTTCTCCGAAGACTCAGGGCGGCTTACAATGTGCTCAGCAATATTGAGAGGTATTGCCTCTCTGCATAGTGCTGATAATCCAACTTTAATTATTTTAGATTGTAAATCCAATAGGTGGGCGAACAAATAATAATAAAAGTTGATAGTCATAAAATATAAACAATTTCCAGATCAAATTCGAATATATATATATATATATAGGCTTTTATGTGCATATTCTTTCTAGCCAGGTTTTACCTACGTAAACTTAAGTTGTTCTGCAGCCCTGGTTCTGTGAAATCTCATTCACAAGCTTCTGGGCTTTTTTTTTTTTCTGTTGACAAACTGCAACTCTGTGTTGCTCTCTGGGAGACTCAGATAGCTATTTCTGCCTTTTAAGGCATCGTCAGTGAGCCACACCCACTTCTCAGATATTCCCCCTGTAAAGGTACAATGTGTCTTTTTCTTTTTCGTAGGCTTTTATGTGCATATTCTTTCTAGCCAGGTTTTACCTACGTAAACTTAAGTTGTTCTGCAGCCCTGGTTCTGTGAAATCTCATTCACAAGCTTCTGGGCTTTTTTTTTTTCTGTTGACAAACTGCAACTCTGTGTTGCTCTCTGGGAGACTCAGATAGCTATTTCTGCCTTTTAAGGCGTCGTCAGTGAGCCACACCCACTTCTCAGATATTCCCCCTGTAAAGGTACAATGTGTCTTTTTCTTTTTTGTAGGCTTTTATGTTCATATTCTTTCTAGCCAGGTTTTACCTACGTAAACTTAAGTTGTTCTGCAGCCCTGGTTCTGTGAAATCTCATTCACAAGCTTCTGGGCTTTTTTTTTTTCTGTTGACAAACTGCAACTCTGTGTTGCTCTCTGGGAGACTCAGATAGCTATTTCTGCCTTTTAAGGCGTCGTCAGTGAGCCACACCCACTTCTCAGATATTCCCCCTGTAAAGGTACAATGTGTCTTTTTCTTTTTCGTAGGCTTTTATGTGCATATTCTTTCTAGCCAGGTTTTACCTACGTAAACTTAAGTTGTTCTGCAGCCCTGGTTCTGTGAAATCTCATTCACAAGTTTCTGGGCCTTTTTTCTGCTGACAAACTGCAACTCTGTGTTGCTCTCTGGGAGACTCAGATAGCTATTTCTGCCTCTTAAGGCATCTTCAGTGAATATATATATATATAAAAATACCTTTTCAATGTCTTCACTTTGAGAGTTCAATTTTTTAACTTAGTTTTCTTTAAAACGTTTCTCTTCTTAAATATTATAGCACGCGCACACACACACACACACACGTGTGTGTGTGTGTGTGTGTGTGTGTGTGCTTATTCTTCCGTTAGCAAAGAGTTCCAGTATTCTTCCCCCTCATATTTCTTGGGGATATTTTCAAAGAAAATTATTCTTTTGTCCAGTTCACAAGCCACTCACTTTCTCTGCTCCTGCTCAGTCCTGGGTATTAAGGTTGTCTTCAGCTTCAGGCAGCCATGTTTGCTGCCGTTGCTCCTTGTAGTTGGCAGAGTGGGCTTTCCTAGTAAGGGAAGGGAGACACGACTCCCCTCTAACTGCTAGGCTGTCCCCCTTTGCTTCACCACCCCTCCAGGGTGGCTGTGGTCCCGATCTGGACCATCCAATAATGAGAGGTCAGAGCTGACCACGGAGCTCGCGGATCAGGCTTCCGAAGGCACAAGAAGTACAACCGGAAGTCAGGAATGAACAGATTTGAAGTACAAAGCAGAGATGTTAAGGCAGGAATAATGTACTCAAAACAAAACAGCAACATTTCTGGATAACAGATCTGCTGTTCTTCTTTGTGTTCGATTATAAAATGGCGGAAAAAACAGGCAGGAATCTCAGACTGAAAGCCACATTACTCATGGAAGTGCACAGTGAATGGATAGCTGGAACTGAGTAAATCCTTGTCTCTGGTTAATCTATCCCCAGGATCATCATAAATGAAGGATGATTTGCTCTTTTTGATGCCCCATAAATAGCACAGGGGATTGTTTCATTACTCCCTTTGTAGGAAGGTCAACAGCAGAAAGGCAATACTCATATCATTTATGCGGGAGGGACAATGTGCATGGTAGTTGCTCAAGAAATCCTTAGACAAAGACTTTTGATTTCAGATGCAGCTCACTGTGAACCCTGCCCAGAAGACCAATTTCCCAACAAGGACAAGGACCAATGCATTGCCAAGAAGATCCACTTCCTTGCCTATCAAGACACCCTGGGATACACTTTAGTTTTTCTTGCTCTTTTCCTCTCTGTGAGCACATCTGCAATCCTGGTGATTTTCCATAAACATCATGACACTCCAATCGTCAAGGCCAATAACCGAGATCTCACCTACATCCTGCTGGTCTCCCTCCTGCTCTGCTTCCTCTGCTCCTTCCTCTTCATTGGTCAACCAGGGAAGATCACCTGTCTCTTCCAACAATCTGTCTTTGCCATTCTCTTTTCCCTTGCGGTTTCCTCTGTTTTGGCAAAAACTGTCATGGTGGTTTTGGCCTTCATGGCCACCAAGCCAGGGAACAAGACAAGGAAACTCTTAGGAAAACCACTAACTAACTCCATTGTCATAGCCGGTCCCCTGATCCAAGCAGTCCTTTGTGCCACCTGGCTGGGAACCTCTCCCCCATTTCTTAACATGGACTTCCACTCCTTGTTTGGAGAGATCATCTTGGAATGTAAGCAAGGCTCAACTGTAATGTTTTATATTGTCCTCTCTTACCTAGGACTTTTGGCCTTCATCAGTTTCACAGTGGCATTTCTAGCTAGAAAATTGCCTGATAGTTTTAATGAAGCCAAGTTCATTACTTTTAGCATGCTGGTCTTTTGCAGTGTTTGGATCTCCTTCCTCCCTACCTACCTGAGCACCAAAGGGAAGTCCATGGTGGCTGTGGAGATCTTCTCCATTTTGGCCTCTGGAGCTGCTCTCTTGGCTTGTATCTTTTTCCCCAAATGCTACATTATTCTGCTGAGGCCGGATCTGAATTGTAGAGAAAATATAGTAAGAAATAAGAATTTCTAACTAAAGCAAGGATTGGCCTCATTTTTATATCTCTTTGTTGTGTGTTTAGAATGTGATAAGATTTCTAACAAATAATGACATGAAGGCGGAACTTGTCCATAAAAGAATTCCTTATCAAGTTCTGCAATTGCTTACAATATTCCTGTGGTCAGTTTTTTGTTTTTCATGTTTTCAAAGTGTCATTAGTGAGGCCCAGTGCCCTGTATGGAAGGAAAACTTGTTATCAAAGATGTGTTTATTATTTTGGTTATTTCTAAGTTTATATGGCAAAGGAAAAAACCCAAAATTAGATACAAACTACTGCAAGATGCTAAGGAAAAATGGGGGGTTGGGTTTACCAGACCTGAAATTGTATTTTGAGGTCTGGCCTGGTTAAAAGAGTGGGTGAACCTCCAGAATAAGAGGCTACTTGAATTAGGGGGGCACGAATTAAGTTTTGGATGGCACCATTACTTATGGTATGATAAAGTTAAAGTTCATGTTGATTTTAGTAATCACTTTGCTAGACGTGCCATACTAAGAGTTTGGAATAAATATAAAACAAGTTGCCTCTTTGGGTGTCCCCCAAGTAGCTTTTTTAAGAAAAGAAATGGTGGCGAAGCCAGACTGGTGGACTGGTGGAAAAAATATTATTTTTTCAATTCTGGTGAAGCTACATTAAAGTTGAGGGAAGAACTTGAATTATGTTTGCCATTGGTTTACATATCAAGAACTGAAAGAATGGTTTAAATCAAATAAAAAGAGTTGTGGGTTTGATTTTGCTAAGAATGAATTGGAAATCTTACTGTGTGGTAGTGATGAGCATATTATTGCTAAGATTTAGAAAATGTTATTGAAATTGAATTTGGAAAGTGAACATGTAAAACATTGTATGATTCAATGGGCAAGGAATTTTGGATATAATATGATGCTTGAACAATGGGAAAATATGTGGATGAAAGCTTTATTTTTTTTTTTATTTTAAAAACAAACTTTATTCAATATAAAAAGATATACTGCTGTAGAGGGGAAAGGATAATAATAGAGAATAGCAGACAGATAATAATAGAGAATCTGAGAAAGCTGGGCCTGTAACACGAAGCCAAGTGGCTAGGAGGAAGAAGCAGGAAGAAAAACTGTTGTCCTCCAAACGGGACACAGAGTTGCAGGCTAGCCAGCATACGTCAGCAGCAGCAAATATAGATAAGCGACAGCTCCGGCCCCGCAACAGAGAACCCATAGCTTCTACATGAATCAGAGCCTGAAGATGACAGGGTTGTGAGCCTGTTGAAACGTTGCTTTAAGAAAAACTTTTAAAGTCACTGGTAGGATTTTAACCAACTTATTTATAATGACGCAGGAAAACACCCGAGATTTTAATTTTTTGCATATGCACACCCGCGAAAACTTAAGAAGACACACACACACACACACACACACACACATTAACCTTAATTTCTTAATGACGGTGTATATTTGTTACCTTTAATTTCTTACTGTATTTGACTTTAGTTTTTTTTCCATCGATTAATCCATTCATACCATCTGTCCCATATTTGGAAATACTGTGAGTCTTCCTTATCATTTAATTTTAAAATTAATCTGTCCATTTCTGCACATATGAATATCTTTTGAATTATTTGTTGTTCTGTTGGCAACTGTTCTAATTTCCAGGATTGGGCTAGGGTTAATCTAGCCGCCGTAATTATATGTAATGTGATGTATTTTATTTCTTTTCTACTGCTTTTTTTAAGTATGCCTAATAAAAAAATTTCAGATTTTAGGTCAATCTCTTCTTCCGTTATTTCTGTTATCCAGGTTCTAATTTTCATCCAGATTTTTTTAATTTTTGGGCAGAGCCACCAAAGATGATAAAAGGTTTCCAGTGATTGTCTGCATTTCCAACATATCGGATTACAATTTGTGTACATTTTTGCCAATCTAGCAGGGGCTAGGTGCCACCTGTACCACATCTTGTAATGGTTCTCTTTGTATGTTGTTGCCTTTGTTATTCTACAATTATTTTCCCATATCATTTCCCACTCTTCCAATTGTATATTTCTTCCAATGTTCCTAGCCCAAGCTATTATTTGACCTTTAACTATATTTTCTGCCAAATCGAACTCTAGTAGATATTTGTAGATCTTTGAGAATAATTTTCCCTCTTTAGTTTCTAATAATTTATCTAATTGGTTAGATTTTATTTCAACTCCTCCTTCTTCCCTGTCTTTTTTGTATCTGGTTTGTATTAGTAAATACGGCCACCAGTCTATTTCTATACCCTGGTCCCTGAGCTCTTGGCGTGATTTGAGTCTTCCATTTATGTCCAAAATTTCTTTGTATCTTATTATTTTTTGAGTAGCTGATGTATTGGGGTGCATTGTTGCCTCTAATGTAGATATCCAGCCTGGGACTTTCATATAGTGCTTACGTTTAATTTCCAACCAGGTGCCAATTAGTGAGTTTCTTATTATATGGTTTTTGAAATGTTTGTATGTTTTGTTTCCAATATTCCACAAGTAAGCATGCCAGCCTTTTAGTAAATCATGACCTTCCAATTTCAGTACTCTTTGGTTATCCAGATTGACCCAATCCTTAATCCATATCAGACTTGCCGCTCTATAATATTTTTCCCAGGCTGGTAGGGCAAAGCCTCCTCTGGTCCTATCATCTTGTAATGTTTTTAAATTTATCCTCGGTTTTTTCCCCTCCCATATAAATTTTGAGATTATTTTATTCAAATTTGTAAAAAAAAAATTCTCTAATTTAACCGGGATAGTTTGAAATAAGTAGAGGAGCCTTGGGAGTATATTCATCTTTATCGCCGCAATTCTTCCTAGCAGTGATAATTTAAGTTTTCCCCATCTCTCTAGGTCTTTTTTAATTTGTTGTATTAGTTCTCCATAGTTGTTATCTTTAATAGCTATATTTCTGGTTGTCAAGTTTATACCTAGATATTTTATCTTTTTAACTACTTGCAGTCCCGATTGTTGTTCCAGTTCTTCTATTTGTTTTATTGTTAGATTTTTGGTTAATATTTTGGTTTTGTTTTTATTAATTTTTAACCCTGCCACCCTGCCAAATTTCTCTATCTCCTCCATCAATTTTAATTGTGTTTCTAATGGGTCTTCTGTGAAGAATACAAGGTCATCAGCAAAGGCTTGGACCTTGTATTCTTCTCCTTTTACTTTAAGTCCTTTTATGTTTTTATTTAGTCTAATTCTCCTAAGTAGATTCTCCAGGGTTAAAATAAAGAGCAGGGGTGAAAGTGGGCACCCTTGTCGTACTCCTCTACTTATTTCAAAGAAATCTGTTGATTCCCCATTCACTAATAGTCTTGCCTTCTGATTTGTGTATATTGTAGATATTATCTTTTCAAAGTTCTCTCCAAATTTCATATTTTTTATTTGTTGTGTCATGAATCTCCAATTGACCCGATCAGATGCTTTTTGTGTATCCAGAAAAATCAGCGCTGCCTGTTTCTCTGGATGCACCTCAGAGTATTCTATTACGTTAATCACCATCCTTAAATTATTTTTAATTTGTCTTGTCTGCAAGAATCCGTTCTGATCTGGATGTATTCTGTTATTGAATATTATTTTTAATCTATTTGCCATTAAATTCATAAAAATTTTATAGTTTAATAGGGAAATTGGCCTATAATTACTAATTTGTATTGTATCTGTCCCTTCTTTGTAGATTAATGAAATATGTGCTTCTTTCCAAGATTCTGGTATTTTTGCTTCTGTTAATGCCTCACTGTAAACCTCCAATAATATCCCATTTAATGATGTTCCTAGTCCTTTGTATAGTTCTATTGGTAGCCCATCTGTTCCCGGGTTTTATTGTTTTTTGTTTCCTGATTGTTTCCTGTAATTCCTCCATCGTAATCTCCCTATTTAGCATCTTTTTCTTATTGAAAAAGTTTTCAAATACAGATTTTCCCCCCTTTTTCCTCCCCCTCTCCCTCCCCCTCCCTATCCCCCCCTCCCCACCCCACCCATCCCCCCCGTGACTTCTTCATAACAAAAAAAAAACCTAATTCATAACAGATTACTTACTCCCTCCTCTAGATATTGACCTTTACTTACTAAAAATATTATTAATATTATAACATCCCCCTTTATCCATACATTTCAGAAAAGAGAAAAGAGAAAAGAAAGGGAAAAAAAGGAAAAAAAAAAAGACATAATACTATGACATTATAAAATAACTTCTCCACTTTAAAAATATACAATAAGTCCTACTTTAACATTTAATCTTCTATGTATATTACTATGACATTTCAAAGCAGCCTTCCCCATCAAATCTAGTTTAACATTTATTCCACTCTATCCATTTCCTCCACTCCCCTAAATATATCACTTAAAAATCCCTTTTCTTAGACTAATCAATCTACTAACTAGCTTATTCACCCACTATCAAGCAAAATTACCATACACAACATTTCTTAATATCATTGATTCACTGCCCACACTACTTAAAAATCTATGTCTATATTTTCCATTATATCTAAATAAAAAAAAAAAAGAAAGAAAAGACAATAACTTTAAATTTATAATCCATATAGTATCTTCTTTAAGATCTTTCCACTGGATTGGTAGAACCAACATCCATAATCAGGTAACATAACTTGCTGGTGCAACAGTTTATTCAAGATCTTCAATCATATCTGCCCCCATCAGTAGTAAATATCTTCTTATATATATAAAAGTAAAAACAACCACCCGAGTGACATTATAATTATATTCCATATAGTAATAATTATGGGTTTCATCAGGATTATTAATTCCCGTCATCGTAGTGGGTAACAACCCGATCTTCTGCATGCCCCAGCATAATTCTCTTGCCTTGTAATTCAAGATAATATAATATATTTATCAACACAAAAAAAAAATTCCAAAATGGATAATTCAAATCCATCAGTTTAAGGCTCATTTCACGTCCCCAAATTACGGCCATGCAGAGATCTGCCACAATCTTCAGGATGATATTAACCAATACGTCGCCTCTTCTGTATT